TTCCGATCTAAAATGCGTTTCCTGCAAATGGAGACCGTAAGAATTAAGGGAAACCAAAGAAGATAAGAAAACCCTAACCAATCGCTCACTTGGGAACGCGGCCGGCGGCGCGCTTCGACATCTCGAGAAGATGCTCGATAGACGTCACCAAGTTTCTCGAGCAAATAATCTCGAGAGAGAAGGCAGGCGAAAAGGCAAGTTTACTCCTTCCAGTTTACGAAGGCAAGCCATTACTCGAATTTATATCGCCGGGGAGGAGTTCCGCCGATTGGGTTCAGTGCAGCGTATACTTCGAAGATTTCTGAGATCACTGCGGTATTTACTTTGGGACGATTGGTAGAGAAGAGAAGGCTGACTGTTAAGACTGCAACAATTTCTCATCAATTTTTATTTTTTTATTTTTATTTTTTTTTTTTTGGGAATAATTTACATATCTAGCACACCATGAGTCCGTATTTATAAATGAGTTTCATTAATAGAAAATTAAATACTGACTTCAAAAGTAAAAGTGATAAAGCAATAAAAAGTGGAATTTTTGGGAATAGAATGAACTTTAAAATAATAGTGCTCAAAAAAAGTTGTTCATAGAAGGTAATATAATATGATAAAGGTTTCATGTAAAGACGAAGGAGTAAGGCCTCATATAATTATTGTTGTGAAAAATGACGGCAATAAAGTGAAAAATCGAATCGAGAAAAATTGTAAAATAGAAAATACAGTGAAAACAAACAGTTTTTCGTGGTTCGGCAAATTGCCTACGTCCACGGAGCTGTAGATGATTTTATTAATTTAAGGAACAACACCTGTTGATCGCCTTGAAGATTATAAGAAAATAATCTCTCTCTCTTCCTCTCTCTCTCTCTCTCTTCACCTTCTCTCTCCCTAACGGAGAGCCACCAACGAGAATAACAGAAAAAGATGGAGAGAGAAACTCTTCACCTTCTCTCTCTCTAACGGAGAGCCACCAACGAGAATAACAGAAAAATATGGAGAGAGAAAAACATGCGATGCCTTGCACTTCCTTCTTCCTTACCGTGTTACCGTGAGCCAACAAAGGAGAAGAAAACAGGAGTGAGGCACGACAATACTTTTACTTCCAGCATCCATATATATAACTCTTCCTATTCAGCCCAATAAGGAAGAAGCAGCCCAGTTTTGGAAGCCATGTGACGCTACAGTTGGGAAGAAATCTAGTTAGCAGGTAAATTACATGTTTTCTATTATTAGCTCAATTAACCATGTTTAGGAGGCCCATAACAAGGAAATTATAAATCCTTATTTGTGAATTCTGGAGATGGCGGGGACAGCAGGATCCTTAGACGAAGCTTTAACAGGAAATGATTAAATTAGATTAATTTAATCAAAAGCTGGCTACTAGGAGAAATTCCAAATTAGAGCAGTGGACCGGGCTCCACCACTACTCTACAAATCTCCCACTTAGAGACAGATACACTGACTGTACCATCTACTTGATGCATCAACCATTGGTTGTACCGACATTTTTCCTCAAACATTATATCCTCCACATCTGCAACTCAAAACCTCGGTCTTCATGTCAGAATACCAGCTGAAGTCGAGCACAACTTCAGATTCTCAAGAGTAACACCCTCAGTCGATATATCAGCATCAACATAGTCTTGTACCTCCTTTCCTATGTTACTTTTGTATCTGCTAACAACTCCCACTGCATTCGCAATATCCTGTATCAATTGAAAGCCCTTTTCAACAAGTCCAGTCTTGTAACTTATGCTACCATCAAGCGCAATCTTCATATGTACACCCACTTGTTATGCAATTTCTTCTTGTAAGATTTATTCATGGCTTTGTGGTTATCCACCATAACTTATATAAGAAAGGAAAACTGAAATCGAAATTGAAATTGAGAGACAAGTCAATTTTTTTATGCAAAACTTATGAGTAGAGGACTGAGAAAGGGATATACAGGCAGGGGCTTGGAAGGGGTGTCTCTAGTAAAGGCTGGTCGATGAGCTTAGTGATGTTATTATGTGGTGGTGGGCTCAGATGGTCGGAGGGAATGAATGATTGAGGAGACTTAATGAAGCAACAATTCTTAAGTAACATCCAATGGATGTTGATGCATTAGTGACATTAGTTGCTTCTTGCTTCTTTTTTCATTAAAAAATACATTTATAATTAGTCCCTTTGCCATGTTTCATAAAGCAAAGTAGCAATTTCTCATGCATGGGTATAAATATACATACTTACCAGTTAATTCTAAAGTATTTACAAATGTAGCATTTATAGTTTATTTTTATACATTTAAAGTGTTCACATAAATCCTTTGCTTTTCACTATTAATGTGTTCCCAAACACACACACACACACAAGCGCGCACATATATGTGTATTTGGATATTGTTTTAAGAAAATGCATTATCGTTTATGGAGGTGTTATATTATGATTAAAATAATATTCAACATTAATAGATTTTAGTACAAGGGTGAAAGAGATTTTTGAAGATAATGAAGAGCATCAATCCAATCTGTTTGACTCTGAGGGCGATATGAAAATGGTTTGAATTGCTCGACAACTAGTATCGTTGCAATAATGATGATTGTATTTTTTGTACAAAATTGTGATGCAAAGAAAAAGTATAATCTTGAGTGGAATATACAACTTTAAACATATTTAACTAGATTATACAATGGCAATGATTTTGCTTGCTTCAATATGATGAGAATGAGAAGAGAGTATTTCTTTAAATTATGTGATCTGATGGGAAAATGAAGATTACTTGTGGACACATTTAATATACAAATTGAGGAACGAGTTTTCATATTATTATATACATTATGAATAGTGTTCGTAATCGAGTCATCAAATTCAACTTTTAATAGTATGGGGAAATTGTGAGCAAGTACGTTAACGTTGCATTATAAGTCATATGATAACTTCGTCATGGATTGCTTCAACCTCGAAAGCTTCAAAGTCCCTTGAAAATATGATCTAATAATAGGTTTACGTCTTATTTTCAACTAAATATCATTTAATGATTTCAATAAATTTTCAAGTTTTTTTTTTCTAATATGATTTGTATAAAAATAGGATTGCATTGGCACAATAGATGTAACACATATTAAAGCTAGAGTTCTTAAGGATCATCAAGCTGCATTTAGATGAAGAAAATCATATTCAACACAGAATGTCTTAGTAGCAGCCAATTTCGAATTGAGAATCACGTATGTTCTAGCTAGATGGGAAGGTTTGACACCTGAGGCAATAGTCCTATGAAAAACATTAGAATGATCTGATGGTTTATGTGTTTCTTAAGGTATGTAATCTAAATCTTTCACTATAGGTCTTACAATTACATGTAATATTTACATTAAGAAATAGTTTGTCAATATTTTTCAGGAAAATATTGTTTTTTTTAATGGTGATTATTCCACTTGAAATGATTTTATTTTGTCACATCATGCGATAAGACATTACTTGATGGTTTTTGGTTCCAGTCAGTCTTCAAATTATAAGGTTATATTTAATCTCTAACACCAGCTGTTGCACACTAGCATGGAGTGTGCAAAGGATTCATTGAAGAATTGTTTTACAAATTTGAAGTTTTCGTCTTATTTTCTATTACAAACTTGAGTCGACATTGTGCTAATTTATTGTATTCTACACAATAGGATAACTATAGAAGGTGGTGACGAGTTTATTCTCTCTAAAGATGAGTAGTTCCAAAGAAGTCACCACAGAAAAAGGACTCTATCAATTTTCAATGACTCTTGGGATTTGTTAGACAAATGAGATCAATTTGCCAATGTCATGTGGAATAGATTGGTTAATAAGGCCTATTAACTATATTTTACGAAGGAAAGTTTTTCTTTTTTCGTTTAAAAATGATTTTTTTTTTTTTGTGATTTTTGTCTATGATAGAGCTATCCATGATATATAAATAATATTTTTTCTCTAATTTGTATCTACGTAATTAGTTGGTTAACTTATATGTTATGTGTTTTAATTTTTTATTTTTTTTGTCTATGATAGAGCTTTCCATGATATATAAATAATATTTTTTTTTCTAATTTGTATCTATGTAATTAGTTGGTTAACTTATATGTTATGTGTTTTATATTTTGTTTTAGTTTTTAAAGTATATAATTATTAGAAATGTCATTTAGCTTTTTCCTTTTAATTTCAGTTTTGAAATTATTATTGCCTTCTTTTTTTCTTATGCAAGAAATGTGGAATGCCGTCAAAGTTTTTTCCATTACATTATTTTCACTCCAATACAACATATAGATGCCACCATTTCTATGTAGGTGTTTTTACATTGAGCCTCTAACCAACTAATGCTTCTTCTTCCAAAACAGATAAGAAAAGACAACATTTTATTGGAGCTTAAAGCCAGAATGGATGGCTGGTTGATTCATATTCTATTAGAAGATGTGGGTGTTAATATGAGAAGTGCTCAAGGTTTTAAAGATGTCGTCTGCTAAGATGTTGCACAATAATTAAACGAATAGTTTGGAATTGATTAAGCAACTGAGTAGTGTAAAAATCAACTATGACATCAGAGGAGTATGTGAAATTATATTCAACAATTTAGAAAAAAATCAAGTGTGTCATGGGTTGAGGATAAGAAAATGATTTTGATGGGTCAGACGACTATGTGTCACATATTCAAGTATTTCTTTATATCAATTATCATTTCGATGGTATTCATTTAAAAAAAAATGACATGATTTGTTTATAATTCTAGGATTTTTCAAAAGATGTTCGTTATTTGAATATGTCAATTGTAATTTATATGGAGTTCGAGAAAGTTTGTGGATAAGGTCACACTACTCAATGGATTATTGACACCACTTGCCTTCAACTATCCTCTTATTCATTTGTTGCGTAAGTTACTCTATATGTTGCTACACGAATTTTCTAAAATATATATATATATTTCGTTTCCCCTCAAACTAAAAGATATCCTCAGTACATCTTGATAATGAGCTTCACCCTCATCACATGTTTTAGGATATTGAATCCATCTGAGATGTGAAATCTCACATAATTCATAAGCACATACAATCCAGACGAAAGTTTGAAGGAGTGAGAAGAAGATGAGGGATTTTTAGAATTATTTCAGGGTACATGATTGAGAGAGAGGTTCCCCTTATTCCAAATTTCCCTTTTAATTATGCATTAAGGAGACTATCTACCGACGCAAAGGTCTAGAGAATAAAACATAATATGAGGTTATGGACTATGTAGTACAGAGCCTTAGCAACTTGTTGTCGACAAGACCAGTGACTTGAATTATTATTTTGTTAATAAATGACGGAATGTGTAACGACACATTGAAATCCTCTTCCTTTCACCTCAGAGAGTTTAGCAACTTGTTGTCGACAAGACCACTGACTTGAATTATTATTTTGTTAATAAATGATGGAATGTGTACCTGACACATTGAAATCCTCTTCCTTTCACCTCAGAGAGTTGCTTGAAGGGCTCGGTGGTGTAACCAATTAGTTATCAACGAGTTTGGTGAGAATGTTCAACCACAACATATGAGTATGGAATAGAAACTCAGGTAATGTAGGTGAGATTGGCTGGAAGAGTTTGCTCAAAGATTATGGTTGGACAAACTCATTATGGAGAACTCTTAAGAATGCTGACGTACTTCAAAGGCACTCACATAATCCTTCTGGGCGATAAACTTGTAACTTCCAAAGGTACAATTGACAAGTACGATTGATTAGGTCGGCGACAGATCATTGAATGCACAATTTAAGGACTCATTTCATTAACCCATGTGGCACATTTAATATTTGGGCTTTCTTGTTGCTCCAAAAACTCATTTTTGAATATGCTTGTTATATACGTGCAAATCTATTGAAATCAATTTCAATTTAGTTCGTAAAATTTTAATCTTTTCTTACTAGAATTTCAATGCCTCGATTTTTCTAAAGCATGGAGCGAACTCGTGTCATTAGCACTTTTTTAAAAAACCTTTTTTATAATACTTTTATAAATATTTTATAATTTATAAATGAAAAGTTTATATACATACCAATTAATTCCTATGTATTTACATATCTAACATCTAAACTTTACTTTTTATATGGATTTTTTTTTAATTCTTGCAAGAAAATGTGTAATTTAATTAAAAAAAATAAAAATAATTTTATTTGTTATATAAAATATATATAAGTTCATAAAAAAATTGGGTGAAATAAATGTCAAAAATAGAAGTTAGAAATTTGACATTTAAATACTTAAAAGTTGTGTGATATATATGTTAATGTATCATTATAAATTAAAATTAGGAAGATTTACATACATTTGACTCATTTCCTATGTATTTATATATCTAACCAAGAAGGTGTTTCTCTGAACTGCTGGATTTATGTTAAATATGATTTATCAAATCTGATAAATCTGGTGAGCCGTGACGGGAATGAAGGTCGCAAACAATAACGACGTAAATTCATTAAATCAGACAAAATTTGCTAGATTTAGTAATCTAGGCTTACATCTCAAAAGGGACGGAAAGACGGTTGAAAAGGCGAAATGCTAAAAAATTCAATTTTGAAGGAGAATTGTATTTAATTTTTGTTTTTTTTGTATATTTCATTGAATTTAGGTTAAATAAATAATACTCTTAAATTTCAATTTTTACGCACATAAATCCAAATTAAATTATTAAACTTGATTAAACATGATTAATGCAAGTGCTCCCAGTAAAATATATGTTCTGAATGTATTTGGAGTCCAATAAAAACATGTCAAGTCGGCTGAAGTCACTTATCCAGTAAGCTTAGGATGGGACCCACTTAACCATATTTTCTTGCAAATGGAATACGCAACAGATGATATCCATTCGCCATCAGCGTCGCTGAAACTGCTCTCCTCATTGAATGCAATGGCGCTCAAATCTTCCATCCCCTTCCCCATCCTCCCGCCAAATATATCCACCCGCCACCGCCACTCCTCCACCCCCACTGAAATCCGATTCTCTCGCTGGAACAACGCCAACGCAGAACCCTTCCTTCGTCGCCAGCGACAGCAAAAGGAGATCGAGGACGACATCCGCCGCCAACGCCGCTTTCAGTCCGCAACCAAAATCGCTGAATATTCTGAATCTGTGAATCACATCTCCTCTATCACATCGTCTCCACCTCCCGAGTACAAGTCCCATGGCACCCCCTCCTCCCCTTCCTCTCCTTCCATTCCAGGCAAAGCCTCTAAATACTCCAAACCCGAAAACCCTAGTTATTCCCACCCCGCCTTCCGCCGAATCGGTCGATCTACACGCAAAGCTAGGGTTCCGCCGGAACAGCCCAACGGGGAGATGGGGATCTCCGTTTCGGATACGGGAATAGCTTACAAACTCAAGAATGCGCCATTCGAGTTCCAATATAGCTATACCGAGACGCCGAAGGTGAAGCCTCTGGCTCTGCGAGAACCACCGTTTTTACCCTTTGGGCCGACGACGATGCCGAGGCCGTGGACGGGACGGGCGCCGCTGCCTGCTAGCAAGAAGAAGCTGCCAGAGTTTGATTCGTTTAGGTTACCGCCTCCAGGGAAGAAAGGGGTGAAGACGGTTCAAGCACCAGGGCCATATCTGGCTGGTTCGGGGCCGAAGTATATGGCTGAGACAAGAGAAGAGATACTTGGCGAGCCACTGGAGAAGGAGGAGGTTAAGGAGCTTATAAAGGGGAGTTTGAAGAGCAAGAGGCAACTGAATATGGGTTAGTGTTGTTGCTACTGATTATATTTATTTCTTCTGTGAGTAACTGCAAAAGTTGATGATTCTTTATTTGCTGGTACTTTTAATCAAGAATGAAAATTTGTGGTTGTTAATGTGCTGCAATAACATATTGATTTTTTATTATTGCTGTCTTAGTTAACTTGGAGTGCATGTGTTTCGTTTGAACATTTGGCTGTGTAATTTTTTGCACCTCAAGAAAAGTCTTCAATTCTTACAACACATTTTAGATCAAAATTTATCATTTTCAGCAATAATAACAGCAACAATAACAAGCCTTTACCCCCACTAAGTGGGGTCGGTTATATGAATCATTTTTCTTCATTGTGCTCAATTGAGTGTCATATTTTCATTTAATTCTAGTAAATTAAGATAATTTTTTATACATCATATCTGAGTATTTTTAGGTCCACCTCTACTTTTCTTAACATAAGTCGAATTTGAAATTTCTACTCTCATAACGAAGGTTGTGAAAACTGGACTGAACATCAAACTGGAAGAAGTAAATGCTCAAGGTTCATTGGTTTGACCGTCGTCGAACCGGGGGTCGAACTAGATGATGTACTAAATAAAAGAATAATTAAATATTTCCTAAATGATATAATAATGATGTAATAATGCAAATCTAAAAAAAATAAAATAAAACACAATCACAAGTAATGAGAGTAAAAATTGAAGTAGAGGTAAATAAACTTTCACAAAGTGAAATACACTCTTACATACATAAGTATGGTGACATGTATGTAAAAATTGAAGTTTAAGTGTTACATGTGTAAATAGTAAATACATAGGAATTGACTATGCAAATCTTTCTAAAAAATAAGATTCGAAAGGTTTTCCATGAAAATTGTTGAAATATATGTACCTGCATGAGAAATAAGCTGAATAATAGTGCTTTCAAATCACTGCATGATGCAAAGAAGTTCCTACAAGACTCATGAAAGATAATAACGTAAAACATAAATTAGAATGAGATCTTGTGATCAGCTAGAATCTCTAATTACACTAGCTGACCTTCTTCTAAGGCATTTAGCTTTTATAAGTATTTAATGCCAACAACCATTTGATTGAGTTATAGAGTTGAAATGAAATACATTAAAGATACAAAATCATAATTCAATATAAAAATTCTCAAAAGTCATAAAGTGACACAATCATGATTTAATCATACACCACAAGTTTATAAATTTAACTATCAATATAGATTTAAACTAATAAAATATCACACATGCTAAATAATCAAACATAGCTAAATAAAGTCCCCAATATTTGCATCCTCAAATATTTTGCATCTCCAAAAGCTGCATCATCATATGTTTCGAAGTCTTCAGAACAAGTCACCACAATTTTCTTCAGCTATAATCAAATATACAAAATAAATTATTATTTTACCCAAATTATGTATTTAAATATAAGTAAAATTGTAGTGTGAATTTCAATATTACATGTTATGTTAGGCTCTTCAGTTGTTGGAATTATAACCTTCTCATATATTTTTTCTCTGAGTCATCATAAATAAGTTCAGCTGTTGGTTCATCGTCAACTATCCAAAAATCTATATTATCAATGCTTGTGTAGTCCAACGGATCATAGTTTTTTTTTAATGTGTAACCTACAAATGTAAATGAATTTTTTTTAATCATAGAATATCATTATAGCTATTAAATTGAAATATTAACTATAGAAAAAATACCTATTTTGCAAATTAAGATTATGTCGAACATAAACAAGATAATTTAGTCTTTGATGCTTAAGATGTTTTCTTCTCTTTGTGTGAATTCGCTAAAAAACACTCCAATTTCTTTCGCATACAGACAAAGATAATGTCTGACTAAGAATACGAATAGCCAGATTTTGTAGGCTTGGAGCACAAGAGCCAAACATCTTCCACCATTCATCTACATAATATAAACTCTTGATTAATTTAAAGAATATGCAAATATATGCAAATATATTATAACAAATATATTATAATTGCTCTACAATATTTTATGAAAAAATTACTAGGCTGCATTTCTTTAGACATAGTAAGAGCAATCGATTGTCCAAAACTTTCTAAATTATCTCAGTATAATCTAATCTCATTCATTGCAAGTTTTGGTTTACTGTATATGTCATTATTTCCAATCATCTCAACCAGACCCTTCATGACTTCAAGTTTATGATAATAGTTGTTATCATATTGAAAATGTGGGTTTAAGAAATAAGCAACTGAGTTAATGCCTCGTTGAAGTTGAAAATCCCATATCTTTTTAATAATATTGGTATATGGCTTATACAAAGCTTTCTTATTTCTGAACATACATTTAATTACTTTTTGTGACAATATAATCCATCATTCAAAAACCAAGTGAGGGTTTCTCATCAGCATCAAGCACCTGTAATAATCTTACTGAAGGTCCTAATAATTTTGATATTATTAAGTAGTCATTCCAAAACTTACAATCCAAAATCATAGAAGTTACATCTCTCCCCTCCCTTTAATAGTCTTTGACAACTTTGAATCAATGTAATGTTTGCTAGTAACAAGAGCTTGTAAGTCATGTTTGTGATCATAGACAATTCTCAAAGTGATAAAAGTAGTTGCAAAGCGAGTTGCTCCTGGTTGTACTATCTCTTTCCAACCCGGTCTTCTTCGCAGCCATGATAATAAGAAAACATGATTGTAAAGAAATATTGTCACCTTTGAAGCTTTTCTAGAAGTTCTTTAACCAGAGACATGTCTCTAATATCTTTTAAAATGAGATTGAAACAATGTGCGGCACAAGGCGACCAAAAAATATTTTTATATTTCTCATGCAATGATTCTCCTTTTTTTAATAATTTGCAGCATTATCGGTCACTAAGTGAACTATTTTTTCTACACCAACCATTTTAACAACTTCCACAAGTAAAGCACACAAAGTGCTCACATCCTTGATAATATCAGAAGCATCAACGCATTTTATAAACGATGCACTACGTGGACAATAAACTAGAAAATTGATCAATATTTTGCTTCTGTTATCTGTCCATCCATCAGCCATTACATCCCATTTCTTTCCAACATCTCTTGAAAGACTCAATAAGAAGTTTGCTCTCTTCTTTACAATGTCTCTATAAATTTACCCTCATTCTATAATAAGAAGGAAGTTAATATCTAGGTCCAATAACAACAACTGAATCAATGGCTTTCTGCGCAAATAATGAATTTACTACACTAAAGAGTATGCAACAATAAAAAAACCATCTTCCAATTGCCATATCAACATGATAAACAACTTCTTCAGATGCTAGTACACTTGTCAATGATGCTTGTGATCCTGGTTTTGTTCTAGGAGCAAAATAATTTTCCACTTCATCAATCTTTCTTTTTCCCTTATCAAGTCCTTTATGATGAGAAGTTCAATTTTGTGATTTGTGAAGTGAGGAATTTTTTTCTTGGTTGCTACCTTCTTCATCATATATTTCAATATTTTCTACATTTTTTCCTTCTTGCTTCGTTTTAGATATGTCTTTTAAATTCTCTTGCATTTGATACCGAACATCATGTGATACTTTTTTTACAAGCTGCAATATTTCCCTTTACTCTAGAAAGATGTTGTTTCATTCTATTAATACCTCTCCCTTTGTAGGTAATTCCACAATACAAACATTTAAATTATTTTTTTCCTTCATAACCTTTAATTTCACTAAAATGGTTCCAAACAGTGTCTGATTTCTCACGAACACAATGCGTCGAATTCATTGGTTGTGTTTGGGATGGTTCCATTCCAACTAAAGACAGAAAGAGGTGAGCCAAATATTATAAATGAATAATATAAAATATTCTTGATAATAAAAAAATAAATATAATCAAACATAAGCACTGTCATCACCCATAATCTTGGCCATACTATATTTTTTTCTTGGCCATTTACCATTGGCATTGATGCCTCACGAATAACTGAATAAGAATTTAGCTATTTAATCCCAAAACAAAGATCCAATTGCTTTCAATAGTTGGAAAATAGACAAAAGAATGCAACATGAATCAACATATGTTCATGAAATGTTTGCAATCAAAGAAACAATTGCTTGATGGTAACAATAAAAGCTGGTTCACAATTTACTATTTGGATTGATCACCAACAAAAACAACAACAATAAGCCTTTATCCCACTAAGTGGGGTAGGCTTAATGAATCCTTTTTCTCCATTGTGTCCTATCAATCACCAAAGCATTAAAAATCTTATGAGCCAACTCTTTAAACACTAGCTCAACAATCTTCCTTCTCAAATTGTTAGGATATGACTGCTGTATTGAATTTCAATAATGCAGCAGTAGATGCACTGTTCTAGAGAGACGAAAATGCAATTACCTTAAATCCAATTGCAAACTTGGTGGTGCTTATTTCCTCTCCCATTCTCAGCGTACTAAAAAAACTAAAAATAGAAACCAAAACTCATCTTGTGATGATCAAGCTGCTGCAATCAGAATAAAAAAGGGGCATTTTACAGTCCATCTGCTAGAATGCTGCAGCCAATTCATATTGAATGAGAACAAAAAAGGGGCATTTACATACATACCACCCTATTCCTATTTATTTGTATATCTAATACATAAACTTTAATTTTTACATTTCTACCGCCCAAATCATTTTGCATGAGAAGCTTCATTCCATTCATAAGAAAGTAAGATGTCCTGCCATCACACAACATGGCATAGTTATTCTAAGGAATCAACAATACACACTTTCTCTCTTTCTCTCTCTAAAAAAAGGGCAAAAAAAAAAAGAAGTAGAAGATAGCTTGACACGTTCACTGTCCACAAATTGAAGCAGAAGAAAATAATGGAGGGCACATATGAATAGCCTAAGGCTCCTCCAGAAACTTCAATTAAGTGGAGAAAGCATTGATTCAAGTGACGTGAGGGTTGCGGCAAGAATGATATGCCTTCCTCAATTGCTTTTGCCACCGGAGGAGAGATACAAGAGGAGGAGAATGGCGGGATGCCAATTATTAC